GGGAAATGTGCTATTTACTCCCCTCTGTATTTGTATTAAATCAAATGGATATTTTAGTTACAGTATTTTTATGCATACATAAAATTGTCATTAGGTCTTATGGGAAGACAAGAAGTTATGTTTCATTTTCTGGCTTTGGGTCTGATCATGAAAGCTGTACAGCCCTTCTGCAAAATCACTCTTTCATATGTTTTCCCTAGCTTTGCTAGGAGCTGAGGAAATAGGAGTTATGGACAACATCCAGCATGTAATAGGGGCAGACCCTGCAACAGATACATAATCTTAAGTACAGTCACTTGCTTTTTTGCTTAAAAGGTGGTGGATAAAATACAGAAAAATATTTATCCATACCTTACTAAAATCTAACCACCTACTATACTACAGGCTTGAAGATTAACTCAGTTGATACAAGCTCTTGTACAAATATATGCATGAACGTAAATACCCACATATATACAAAATTCTTGATGTGTCAAATTATTGTTCCAATAAACGGGAATTTTGTAGTGACACGGTGTTTATGATTGCTTGGACTACATAACTGTCTGGTAAGTGTTCTCGATCATGTTGTCTGGAAAAAAGGAGACAGAGAAAGGGTTTAGCTGGACCTTTTTTGAGCTATCAGTGTATGCATGTGTCAGTCTCCACAAGTGCTATGCTGCCTTTAGGTTTCAATCTTTTTAATGGTCAGCAGATATCTGCAGCTGAATAGGCAGTAAATAAATGGAGAGAACATGTTTTCACAGTGAATAGTAAGGAGTTTTGCAATTTGTCTTGTCAGGAAAACTTTAGTTTATCCATATAGAAATGGTATTATGTTGTTGAAATTCTGCTTCAACTGGTGTGTTGTGCAGGCTCCGGGAATATTTTACACTCCTCTGTCTCCATTCACAAAAAAAAGATGTTTTTCAAAAACTTCTCACAGTTGCTAATGGTAGTTCTTACAGGAGCCTTAATGCACAGGAGTCCTTAACGCCAAATTACATGCCCAGGGTCTCAGATTTATAGCTCCTCTACGCAATAGTAGTTTTAGTGACTACCTTCTTCCAATAATGCCCATGCATCTAAATCAGAGGTAGCAGTGACAGAAAGTTTAATCCTCTTCTACTGAGTCTGTCTCATTGTTTTTTCTTTGTGGGAACTTTAACAACACTATCAGATCCTCAGGTTGTGTTGGTGGTAGGCATTTGTAACTCCTCCCTGCAAACTAAAGTTGTGAAGGAGTTTTCACAGTGAGTTGCCATGCATGGCGTGGTGTGCTCTATGCAGTGCTGAAATTTGTTGACTTCAGCAACTTTCTCAACATGGTAACATACTCATTTGATTAATTTCTGCAGCTAAGAATCAGTCAATGTGGAAGTAAATACTCTTGCAGCATAGAAGTCTGAGACCCCTCACTCAGTGGAAAAAGTTTCTAGCACCGAGACCCAAATCTCTTAAAAAGGTTTGGAAGGTTTATCTATACAAGCCCTAAAAACCATGATTGCTTATTCAGACCTGTTGAAGCTTTTTTGTTATTGCTTCCTAAATACTAGTAATAGAAGAAGAGAGGTCCGTGATCTGTGGCAATCCAGCCAGCTGCAGAGTCAGAGATCAAATGGTACATATGATGCCTCTCACTTGGCTTCACATGTGTTGGGAGGTCTGGGCTACCTGGAAGGAAAGACACTTTGAAGAAAAACAAGATTCTGTTGTGAGGATCTGGAAAAGAAAGCATGTATTAGCAGCAAGTAACAAGGAAGTAGGGTGTATTATAAGTCAGTTATAAATCAGCCTTTTTTGTGGAGGAGAGATCTAGCTAAGAGGGTTGTTGATCCCACTTTAAAGCAGCCGTAAGGGTTAGTGCTTACCAAAGTCTTGTGTCTCTCCCTCCTTTGGCCTTTGCCCAGATACGCTCTCTGCATCTTACAGGTTTCCAGACTTTGTTACATCAAATGGCGCATAAGACTGATTAGCTACCTGCTCCTACTGAAGGGACCTCTGGATCCTGTAAGGTCTGAAGGGGGCAGTCAGCTCTTGGCTTCTCAAGATAGCGTCCACCAAGACCGATTTCAGCCTGAGCTGAGAGAAGAGCACAGGAACCAGGAGAGAAAGGCACACTATCAAATTTCTAAAGTCTCTTAGAAGTGGAAAGGGATCTATGATTGTTCCTAGAAGATTTAGCAGAGAAATGGATTTCACTGTGAATGCTACCTGGTAGTCTATATTCTTAAACTGCATGATTTCTCCTCCAGAAGAGGAGAATAGAAGAGAATACTCTTGACCCTGAAGTTAATTCTTGGGAAGGGGAAAAATTAATTCGTTCTTTATAAAGAAAACAAACGTCTATAAGGAATGTCTTAGGAACCCTCTGATGCCGAATTCAGGAATGTCTTCTTGTATTTGCATCTCACCAAGAAACAGAGGCCAGAGTGGTACCGTAGAGGTGTTAGAGGTAGGCATGGTATGGATCTCAAGCAAAGTTTCTGTTAATGTCAATGGACCTATGTCTATCTAAGGATTTGAAGCCGAGTGGTGTATGCACAGTAGCGATATTATCCTGCTAAGGGAAAACATTAATACCATCTCTGACAAGTGACAAAGAAATACGTGACCTGAAAGTAAACTTCTTTTATATATTTGTATGTTTGTGTGCATACACAGATATTCATAAACAGCACAAATGAAAGGTGCAGAGTTGGCTTCTAGTAGGAAATGGCTGTCTTGCTTGGATAGAGGTGAAATGAATTTTTATAGTTATATCCCATGAAACAATTCAGCAGAAATATGACCTGGGAGGAAGCTAGATGCGTGTAAATACAACTTGGGTTTCTCTGTGGATAGTTTATATTATTTACATTTATGGAAAATAGCTCCTATTTTGAATAGCTAATACAGAAATAACTGCAGAGTCCTGTCTGCATTAAGGTTGATGTTACTTTTGGTGTCGCCCTTGCTGGATGTGTCATGAATCTTTGAAGAGGTGTCGGACAGACAAGAATATAAATTTCAGAATTAGATTTTTAACCCTTAGATTTATTTTTCTGTTTCAAACTCTTTTTTTTTTTTTCTGTTGTAATTTGACCTGTTGCTCAGTGTCCAGCTGTTTCTCCCTCGGGAGGACTTAGTATAAAATAAAGTTCCAGAGTGCCTGGCTGAGAGAATCTTGACAAAGAGTCACTTTTCTGAAAATACAGTTTAATTTGGTTTTTTGCACTCCAAGTGGTAAAGGTGATTTAGATATTGGCTAAGCAAAACACTTGAATATTTTTGTGAATGTTTTTGTTTTCAGGCACAGACTTAAATCAAAAATAAAAAAAAAGAAAGCAAAACAAACAAAACCCCACCCTGTCAGAAATGTAATGAATTTCTCAGTGTAATATACTGTTGTATTTTGTAAAAGTAATTGGTTTTATAAATTTGGAAGAAGCACTAGTTTAATAATGTAAAATAATAGCATTCAAAAGATGGTAGCCAATTAAGTCCTTCTAGCAGGGGATTTAAGTTGTTTTTCAGGGAGATTTGTAACCCTAAGTCGGACATATTCCTTAGTGAACAGTATGCCAAGGTGAGATGTGCATTCCCACTGCCAAAATGAACTCTTTTAATATGAAATATGTCTTGGACTATGGTAATGGGAAACTTCCCAAAATTTCACACATTTGTTGATAATCTCCATGGAACTCTAACACTTTCCATATGTTTTCCTGGTTGGCAGGTGGAGTGGATACAACAGCAGGTGGTTAAAAGCAGGATAAAGAGGGATTATAAACCTGGTGGTACCCAGTCCACTTATTTCAACGATCCCAAGTGGCCAAGCATGTGGTACATGGTAAGTACATACAGGGCCATTGGCTCTGTCTCATGCTAGTGTTTAGTTCTGGTATTTTGAAAAAGGGCAGACTAGTATGTTCAGAAAAAGCAAATTTGAGGTTTTTTGATGTAACAAAAGAAGGTCTGTAAACTCCTTGCAAGTATCATAAAGAATTCCTGGTGGACCCTGCAATAGGAAACATTTTAATACATTCATTCATGAATGCTTCCTATTGCAAGATGTCTTGGGAATTACTTATTGGAAGATAAACTTTCAGCAGTGAGAAGGGAAGGAACTTAGCCACCATCTGCGACAGCAGAAAAAACACTTGTTTTCAATGTGCCTGATTCACTGTCTCCAACATCATGTGATATAAATGTCTTGTGTCGTGAAACAGAAGAAAAGAGCTGTGAACACTGTCTATTCAGTGTTATAATCACACTCTTTTTAGTAATGAACAATTGCATTGTTGAAATAAATGGAATGTTTGTGCTGTTTCCTGTCTGACATAAGGTCCATGTTTTCTTTTTTTTTTTTTTTTTGCCCGACAGTCACAGTTAAAGCCTGGAGTGAAACTTTTGTGTTCATGATGTTTTTTAAAAATACCCTCATTTTGCCTAGGAAGGTGCAGAACATAGACTAGTTTGGGTTGGAAGGGACCTTTAAAAGACATCTAGTCCAACCCTCCTGCAAAAAGCAGGGACATCTTCCACTAGATCAGGTTGCTCGTGGCCCCGGCCAACCTGACCTTGAATGGTTCCAGGGATGGGGTATCTACCACTTCTGGGCAACCCATTACAGTGTTTCACCACCCTCATTGTAAAAAATTTGTTCCTTATATCAAGTCTGAATATACCCTCTTTTAGTTTAAAACCATTATCCCTTCTCCTGTTGCAGCAAGTCATGCTAAAAAGTCTGTCCCTGTCTTTCTTATAAGGCCCCTTTAGGTGCTGAAAGGCCACAATAAGGTCTCCTTGCAGCCTTCTCTTCTCCAGGCTGAACAACCCCAACTCTTTCAGCCTTTCCTCACAGGAGAGGTGCTTAAGCCCTCTGATCATCTTTGTGGCCCTCTGGACCCGCTCCAGCAGCTCCATGTCCTTCTCATGCTTAGGGCTCCAGAGCTGGACACAGGACTCCAGGTGGGGTCTCACCAGAGCGGAGCAGAGAGGCAGAATCACCTCCCTCAACCTGCCTTTGACGCAGCCCAGGATACAGTTGGCCTTCCGGGCTGCAAGCACACATCGTCAGCTCATGTTCAGCTTTTCGTCCACCAGTAACCCCCAAGTCCCTTTCAGCAGGGCTGCTCTCACTCCCTTTATCCCCCAGCCTGTATTGATAGTGGGGGTTGCCCCAACCCAGCTTTTCCTGCACCAGTACAATGAAAAGTTGTATTTGGTAGACAGTTGACTCCAGCTGACACGTGTCCATTTTGGCTGGTAAACGACTTGCTGTCTTTATCTACTGTCCTCTTGGTGTACTTCCAAATCCCTACATGTTGTTTTCTCACTACGTCGCCTATGTTGCGGACAGTAAGACACTCGGAGGGTTTTATGACTTTATAGATTGAATTGCTTCAGATAGGGAGGAGAATATGCCCTTCTGGCAACAGTATGTAAGGTAATTTTCCTGTAAGTAGATACTGTCTTTTCAGGTATTTTGTTACTTTCAAAGCATTAGGTTAGTATTTTGGGTAAATAAACAAGATTGTCCTAACAGAGCTTATAAGGTATTTTTAAGTTTTTATTCATTGTTGCATACATTGAAAACCAAAAAATGTCATAGATAATTTGTAACTAACAGTCAATAGTAGCTGTTGGTAAACTCAGTCAGAAGTCCTTAAAGTCCTTATCTTCATGGATATATCATATGAGCATGTTGTCAGTTAGCAAGTCTAGCAGCTTTGCTATTCAGTTTCCTGAATTCTTGTTTTTTAATGAGAGGCTAAGTAATAGCTCTATTTTCGAAATTCATCTTATTTTTTTAGAGATCTGTGTCTTTCGGTCAGTAGCTGTCCTCATACAGTAGAAATCTATTTCATTTCTGTTTTTGCAGTACAGTATTGATGTAGCTAAGGGTTTTTTTAGCAGTTCATTGTCCGCTTTGAAAACAGCTTTTATCCAAAATGTAGTTCTTTTCAATTGTTTGTGAAAGCTGTATTATTTTGGGTCATGGGATCATGGCAGGTCTTTTTCCGAGTTTATTGAAATGTGTATACTTGTCTGTCTCCTCTAATGTGTATGTTTATTCAGTCTGCCTATCCTATAAATATGTGCATGAGGTGACAGACAGATTCCAATAAATGGCAGTGGATTGTGATGTTGTGTCCTTCAGTTCTAATTTTTCAAATATTTTGTTTTGGCAGTTTTAATTGAAACTAGAAAATAACGATCTTTATGCAGTCTTCTGTTACTGCTATAGACTTTCAGCTCTGTATTAGACTAAAAATAGGGAAGCCAAATTTCAGGAGAATAATACTGTCAAGCAAAAGCCCACTATATATTGTGTAGGGTAACTTATGTAATTTTTCCTTTGATCTCCTAGATATGTATACAAGGTTTTTAGTGCCACTGTAGCTCTTTCATGGGGTGTTTTTAACTGATAATGGATGCTTATAGCAGTTGCCTCTAATTTTGTCTCAGAATGTAGCAGTCTCCTATTTATAAATCAGTTGCATTGCCTAGCCACACAGCTTCACACCTACCCCACAAATGACAGGAATACAGGAAGCGCTTTAAGGCAGCAAACAGACTTTACTGTTTGTCTTGTACAATGTTCAGAATGTTGTCATTTCTATACCTGTGGAAGAAAGTCCTCACTTGCAGACTCTCTGGGAAGGAACTGCTCCTGACTGATTGCATCTACCTCTACTGAACGACTCGGTGTATTTGCAATATCTTTAATGGTAGTGGTTTGATGACATTTTGTTGAGAGAGATCAGTAATGTATTAGCAAGTACACTATCTCAGCAGAGAGAATAGCTAAAAATATGTGAATGGATTGACTTCAGGACTGACTTGGGTCGTTACCAGATAACCTCATATGACTGTATTTGTGTTTGTAACCGTAGTTACTTTTGTTAATCTTATTTACCTTTTTAAGTTGAAGAGAAAATAAAGGAATTTAAGGTTAGTTAATGGTTTCAGTCATTGCTATGTCAGAAAGAGGTTTTTAGGTTGCTGGCTGCAGACGTGTTGTTGAGAAAGTAATAAAGTATTATCATGTACAGGTTTGCATTTGAATTAATAAGTAACTTCGTTGTGGGTTAGGATTGATACCTTTGGCCGTTGAACTGGCATAATCTCTAACAGGGCTGTAAATGTAGTTTAGATTTGTTGACATAAGTCCTTTTATTCAAAGACTTTGTCAGACAATATCTGATTGATACTTTTCCTCCCCCAGCTTTTTCTTCATAAGTACCACCCCTTTTAATTTTAATTCTCTCAGCTAGAAATTATAGATTTTTGATTGTGTGATAGCCATGCCAAGAAGTTATGAGGTAGATTCAGGCCTTCTTCCTCTTTAGGGCCATCATAAAATTTAAGTGTCTCTCAAGAACTATTCTGTGAACAAACTAAAAGGTCTTTTTTTAATCACTCTGTTTTTCTTGGTTTACTCTAAACACAGCCCTAGAAAGAGCAGAGAGATTAGGAATATAGTTATTTAGCACCTTATGGTTCTGTGGAAGCCAAAGCAGACAGAGCCACTTGTCACCTGAACAAGTATACTTGTACTTTTCATTACCAGGGGTTTATCTATTGAGAAATTACAGCGTCTCATGCTTTCTAATAACAAGGAAAAGGTGATTTTCCTCTGACTTTACTCCCTCAAAGCAAGCAAAGTTGGAAAAAAATCCAGCTGCTTTATCATGAATTTGGAATCCTGAGCCATCTGTGCTTGAGAGTGAAAGAGAATATTTTTGTAGATTACGTAACATGTGAAACTTTGCCTGTTCAACTGTTAAACTGACCTACAGAATTGTGTCCAGCTTGCTCAGAATCAACTGATATGAAAGAATAAATTCAAAGGGAAAGAAGGTCCCTAGTTAACATCCCCTTCCAAATTTTGAGTCAGGAAAGAGCTAAGTCCCATGTGCCGTCCCCAGAGCTCAGCTGTCTTTGTATCATCAGGTTATATCTAATAAATTTCTTCTCTTTCACTGATGTTGACAAAATAACCTGTTTGTCAATAACTGGATGAACTATACACAATCAGTTTGCATAACTGAAAGAGGTCAAAGTCAACCCTGAAGCCCTACTGCTATCTGAAACTGTTTTACTTAATTTGTAATAACAGTGTCTTTGGAATGATTAAGGGGACTTTGTGCCTAACCAATTGCACTATATCTGCCAGCTGGTTTAATGAGTTTCCTCATCTTGCCTGCATGGACAAATGGTCCTAAAGACTAGAGAAGGTAAATTAAAAAAATTGAAAATATATGCAAAGCTGTGGTTAATATAACTAACTTTGATAGATTTCAGTCAGAAGACTCTCCTTGCTGACCGTTTCTTTTTACTCCCCACTACAGAAGAGCTTTGTAGTGGTCAACTGAAACTGGAATCACGTAGGCACACAAGCACAGCTTTCTGCAGCTGTAATCTAGCTCTACTGTGATGCTGGGCTCCATTGCATATCTTTCTAAAATGAAATGTAATAGCAAGAAATTAATTTAGCTATTGTTTAATTTTTAGCAAACCATTTTTAGACTACAAAGATGTTGACTATGTATTTGCAGTCAGTTCAGACAGGCACAAGTCTTTTTCAACACTGTTCAAGGATAATCCTCTCCAGTACTGTTATCATCCCTTCTATTGTTAATAATAATTGCTAGTGCTGACAGGATTCTCTAATTTGGAGAAGTTTCCACTTCCCTACAAGGTTCTTCCCACTTGACACGGCCTAGTCACTGCTGGGCAGGAATTGGATACGTAACAGGATATTTTTGTGGGACTGAGAATTTACTGTAGGAGTATGATCTTTTGAGATGCGAGGCTGAAGGGAGAGGCACTGTTCTGTTAGAG